GTCAGTCCCACAGCACCCATGGCACCAGTTCTGCTTGTCCACAGCTTGAGGGGCAGTTCCTCCCAAACCCTTGCACCTATCTTCTTGAAACTTGGTAGGCTTTGTGGCCTCAGTACGAGCTACCATCCCAGCAATTTTGATCCCCCTGTGGTGTAACATGCAGGCATGACAGGAGTTTGTCTTTCAAGAATTTGGGGTGCTGTTTCCCCCAACCCCCTGGACCTATCTTCTTGAAACATGGCAGACTTCATCCTCTATGCATAGTCTACCATCTCTAAAAATTTCATCCATGGGGACAGAGGTGGCAGAGGATGCTGCCACTGCACCTTGAGTCCTGTTGCAGATGGCCACATGTGGGCATGGCTCAGCTCAGCAGCAGGGACTCACATGGGCCAGCCAGGTCTGGGAAGATCTGATTGTCCAGGGAAGTGTTGTGAGGGAGCTCCTGCCACTGGGCACAGCCTGGCGGAGGCTCTGGGGGCCCATGACCCCCCACCTGTGCTCTGGGTGCAGCAGGCAGTGCACAGCAACAGCCACCTCATTGCGAGCACAGGTTGGGGGGTCATGGGCCCCAGAGGCCTCCGCTGGGCTGCACCCAGCAGCAGGAGCCCCCTCATGTGGCCCTGGACTATGGAGACTTCCAGACCTGGCTGGGCTGGGGCCCGACATCATGTTCCTCTAGCTGCCAGGTGAGCGTGGCTCAGTACACCCGCGGTACAGAAGTGGGATTGGGCCCCAGCCCGGCCAAGTCTGGGAGACTCCACAGTCTAGGGTTGCATGGGGTCAGGAGTGGGGTGGGGAGAACAGGGCAGGGGGCGGAGTGGAAGATGGGGCATGGTAAATCCTGGGGTGACCTTTAGTTCCAAAAAGTGATCTTTAGCATAAAAAGATTGGAGACCACTGCTATAGTTAAAGCTGTGACTCATTTCTGATTGTTAGCAGTGAGGCCTGGCTTTGTATCATAGTAAAGGAACCATGCATGCGTGGGATGACTATAGGTTACAAGGCTCCAGAATCCACAAACCCTTGACCTTGATGATGTTATGACCAGGAATCCTGGTTTTCTCCAATTTAAAAAAATCCCCAATTTTCAGTTAAAAAAAAAAAAAAAAGAGACTGGGACACTCATGAATACAAGCTTTTGGAGTCTGACTATACATAGTTTTAGGCGAGTGCTGGTGTCCATAGCAGACTGTTTTTTTCCCCTTTGACTGTCCATACTTAAACAGAGTTCAATATTGCTTCACACAATAACAATGTGCCCTTTTTACTTACTTTTCGGGTCTGCATCTTCTCTGTTCGCCTTCTAAAAGCAACGTAAGGATCATTTGTGCTGGAGCCATCTCGTTTCTCTTGTTTCACTGCTGGGATAAGGGAGGGACCTCGACAGTTTTTCCTCTTTTTAATCCAGTACTCGTACACTTCTCTGATCAATTCATCGTCTTCCTTCAGCAGCAGCTTGGCCTCTTGCAGGCTGACTGGCTAAATTTAAAACACAATCTGTCACTTTCATATGCTGATTACTTCTTGTAAATTTTTCAATTTTTCATCTGACACAGTATTTTACCTGCTGACCACTGCCTTTTTCTAGCCGATCTATCATCTCCTCAAACTGCAAAGGAGATATGTCCATTCTTTTCTTCAGTTTATTCACGAAGACCTCATCTTCTGAATCCAGGTCATAATCTGGCTGCTCAGCATCCAAGCTAAAAGCTAAACAATACAATGTATGTTAACATGTATATGGTGTCTATCATGGGAATAATTTCACTGAAACAGGTGCATCTGGGAATGACATGCTCCACTGGAGAAGTCTAGCTCCTGTTGCACGACAACAGGATTTATTTAGACACTGCACTTATTCTACTTGGATTAACAGCAAACCTAGATATAACACAGTATCTGCAGTTGAAACGCGCTGGATTTATTAATAAAGATGACTAACAGAAGTATGGTGACACAATGCACGTGGACGTTAAGAACAATCATGGAAATTAAAATTTAGTAAATGGTAAGCAGTTGAATTACTTATCTGGTTTACTTGGCATAGTTTTATACTGAAGCTAGACAAATTAAAAAAAAAAAAAAA